CTGTCTTACAATAATGTAAAAAGAAAAAGGCATAATTTGAAGATACAGAACTTGGATTTTTACTTCGACTCTAATCTATACAATCTCCTCATGGTAATGGTAAAGTATAGAAAAAAAGGAGGGAATGAGCTGTACTGTCAAACTATTGGGTTATAGAAAAAGTATAGTGTAGTTTTTTGCCTATTGCGTGGGCCTTCAAACCCACTTCAGGATCAATATAGGGATCAAATCTTACTACTTGCATCACATAACAACTATTCGTAGGAAATTTGATCATTAGATATTTTTTGTAGTTCCTAATGCGAATCACAGTCCGATATTTATAGGGTATTCAGTACGATTTGAGGTACATTATGAATGCAGGAGCTACCAGGATAAAAAACGGTTTAATCTTCTGATTATGGTAACTTGGCGATTTTTTGGTGACCAACCCTGCTACAGCGACCTGCTAGTTTTGTTTTGGATGGCATTTTGTTTTCACGAAATAAAGGCTTTTTTTTTTTACTCAAAATTTTTTTCAACAATCTGCTAGCAGAATTACGCTTATACTAGAACTTTTATGGAACAAAAATGATCAAAATCATGATGAAGATGGGGCGAAATGGAGAAGAAAGATAGAATCGTAAATGCTGCGCATTTTTAAGAATTCACCTACACGATCCATGTACACGTCACCCTATTTCACTTAAAAAAATCCCAGAATTGCCAAAAATGGCATTGCGCACACTCCTTTTGACTTTATCCATGACACTGCTAAAGTCCAGCTAGTACCTTTATTCCTTACCCCAAAGTCGCAAACTATCCTGTTACCATATTTCCAATGATTAGTCTAAAAAACATTTATCTTTCTGCTACGCTGATGACGCACTACACATTTCAAGAGTAATTCAACATGGTAGTTACAGATATGGCACTGTAATGACTTTTGTTTTTTAACGTATCATCAGATTAACAATAAGGGCTAGTTTTGAAATTATTAATACACAACGTGATTTCCAAAAATTAAATACTAATTATTAAAAAGACAAACTGTTTCAAAAGCAAAACAACATGAGGTTTCCTATTACATGAGTAAATTATGATACAACGTGATTAATTATGAACTCTGAGTCTCAGTTTGGCCATGCTTGATCTGTACATAAAGTATATGGCATATATTTAAAAAAATAACTTCTAAGAAACAGTAGATTCCCTTTAATTTGTTTAAGATATGTTCTGAAAATTATTCAGATTTTTGAAGTTTTCCAAAAAACACACTTTTTTTTTCACTTTTATACAATATATAAATGGCTATTTCATGTCGATGAATTATCAGACTTTTAATACTCAGCTAAATAAATTTTCAAAGCAACCATAAAAATTGTTTTGGTTTAATCAATAGTATCCGGTTGCGCAGGATTTTGGCTACTTATGAGGCATACAACGGTACATATACGATTATAGTTAAACAGGTCATTTTGGTGTTGGCGATATTGGTCAAAATCGCGCCAGAGCTGCACCGATACTAGGATTATTATTGTTTTGTTTTTCTTTTTCCTTTTTCTCAGCAACTAATAACGAATTTTATTTTAGATATACAAATGCACTCTGATATATATTTTTCTGCTTTAGCAACTCAAATAATCCTTAAGCGAATTTTGTGGCATGGGCCTATACTTTCACAGCATTTTGGTTTTATTAACTTTCTTTAGAATATTGTCATTTTATCTGGTTGATGAGTAGTCTCCCTTTTATGTTTGTTTATTATCTCTGTCCCCTTAAAATAATTGAAGTGAACTCGCATTCTCTACATTGATCATATATTCTTTATGAAAATGAATATTTAGACAAAATAATACCTAAGACAATTAACATTAATATAACATTACAGAACTAATTCTAAATGGCTATCATTGGAAGGCTATCAAATACCGGCTTTTTAAAGTAAATATAGAAGCATATTCTATCGTAGTTTATATGGGAACTGAATAATTTAGATTATAGTATAGGTTAGTTATATCGAGAATATCTGAAATAATATTTTCACAAGCATACACATATGTTTCAATATTTGGTTTTTCAAAGCACAAAAGTTATACATAATACACATCCCGAATAGTGTCAAAAGTACTAGTTTATCTGATACATATGTAGATCATTTAGAGGAATGTGATATATTAATACATATATAAATCGGATTCGAAAAGTAATTGCCCGCGTTGCGCATAGACGCAACATTACTCGACTTTTAATGCTAATTACCAACATAACAGAACAAAATTAGCAATCTGATACCAAACAAATATACAACATCTTAATCTGTTTTTCTTTTTTCCCCCGTAATTTTCCTTTTCCTCTCCTTAGCACGATCCCCCATGATTTTACTTCGTGGCATAATTAAATGTCGCCCATATCCTTAAGGAGCCAAGTTGCGCAACTAAGGCTTTCCGACCTTGGAAATTAAACCAATCGTGAGTCTAAATAAGCAGACGGTGTTAATTAAGCGTGTTTCGTTATTTTTGAGAAAGAGATGTAGAATGCTTCACATTCTATAAACTTTACCAGTAATTTTCAAAAAAAAAAAAAAAATGCTCTTAATATGAAGTCTGATGATTGTTACGTAGTTTTACTTCATGACCACCCAGAATTTTTAGAACAATGTGCATGTTTAATTAATAAGCAATGGAAACGAAGTTTATCTGCCAGGTACTTTTAAATCTTTTGTTGAATTTAAATGTATCATATTATTTTTTACCTGATGTATTCATACATATGAAAAAAATTTGCAAATTTAGTTTAGGATATAAATTTAGAGATCACCTGGTACATTTTATGCATGATAATTTTTCCATTCTTTTGTTTCAATAAGAATTTATTATTAAATCATATTTCAATTATTGTGTTTTATTGCTTTGTAAAATCCGTAATTTCTGCTTATCATGGTATATGCACTAAATATTCATTCATAATTTCATTTGTTATTTGGGGAAAGTGCAGAATTGCCCACTGCTTGGCGCATTTTTAAGAATTGCACATGTTGGTATCCATGTACACATCGACCTATTTTCACTTAAAAAAACATCCCAGAATTCCACAAAAATGGCATTGCACACTCCCTTGACTTTATCCATGTACACATTGACCTATTTTCACTTAAAATGTCAAAGAAAATTGACAAAAATTCAATTCTTCTTACTCTTGTAAAAAGCGCCAAAAACGCTAATCAAATAAGTGGACGATTCTGCACTTTAGCCCGTTATTTACTTATCACTTTCCCAAACTTCATGTATGAATCATGTTTTATTAGTTGTATGAGTGTTATATATATATCTGTTCATAAATTAATGGAGTTTATGTTAATACAGGAATGAGAATCATTCTTCATACATTTAGTGCTAGGCCATCAAATGATACTATAATCATTGCTGTATTATTTAAAAATTTAATAGTGCCAGTACTGTTGTTGGTAAAATTTTCATTAATCTTTTTAGAAATAAATTTCAAATTCCAAAAATGCATTTAGAGTATGTAATTTATTTTTAATTATTTGCAAATAGGAGTTTATTTTCATTCATGGCTATTATATTTTCAATTTAACTGAAGGCTAAATATATTTAAGTTTGTTTATATTAAATGTTGTACTTATTTGTATGTTTTACTCACAATCTACAAAGCAGCACATTGTATGCAGAAATGTTAATTTTAAAAGCTGCAAGCTAAAAGTGAATGGTAGATCTTTATAAGGTAATTGCTTGTATAGTTACTTTAATGATTTAAATTAACATTTCAAAATTCTGGGAAATGCATTAATTTAATTCTCTTGAGGTGCAATGATTTTATTAAGGTATGGAATTTGTTTTTGCCTGGTATATATTATTTTCTTATTAAACATATTCTGATCTGTATTTTCTTTAATCATCTAAATATCATTTAATAATTAGAAGATTGGTCTCTAGTGTAGAATTGGGTGCCCCTTCAATTAGCGACAATTTGTTAAAAAATTTTGGTGATGAAACCTCATTTCTGGTTTCCATGATAATTTTGTTTCAGTTTCCTGATATATATTTAAGTGAAAACAGATTTATGTTTACATGGACACAGAGTTTGTGCAATTCTTTGACTTTTTATTCTGGTTTTGTGTAGTGGCCAACTTGAAATTGTGCCTTCCTGGTGCTGATCTTGGTGTCAGAAAAGAATCGCCAAAAAACAAGGGACACCCAATTGTAAACTTTTACAGAAGATTGTGATAACAAAGAATTAAATATACAGTTCTAATTAATAAATTATGTTTAAATACAGCAGGCCTTAAAAGCTGTACTATAGGTAAAGTTTATGTGACCAATATTGTGAGTCTTAATTATTTAATATTAGTTATATATGTGACCAAATTGTGAGCTTTAATTAATTGCTCTTAGTTATATATGTGATCAATATTGTGAGCCTTAATTACTTAATATTAGTTGTATATTTCACCAATATTGTGAGCCTTAAGTACTTAATATTAGTTATATATTTCACCAATATTGTGAGCTTTAATTATTTAATATTAGTTATATATTTGACCAATATTGTAAGCCTTACGTTATTTGATTAAATTTTTAATTTGGAACCTTGTAGTGAAGGATTAGTCATTCAGGAGATATTTAGTTATATAATCTTTTTATTTTTTGTAACATTCTGTGTAATTAAGTAGTAATGCATGCATAAAAATATGTGTAGTAATGTAAATTTATAATATACACTCAAGAAGATTGAAAATAACACACCAAGAAGGGATCAGATTGAAGTGAAATTTAATACACATATTTTTACAGGTGATAACTTGATCCCAAAATCAAGATTATTTAACAGATACAGTGGGTACAGCTAGACAAATGTAGTAGAACTTCAGTAGCGCATCAGACTGCCTCCTGCTGCAATACATGCCAGAACACTACTGTCCAGCATTGGGTTGATTAGACCACTGATGTTTCCCTGAGGCAGGTGGGTCCACAAATCTTGAACTTCTACCTTCAAATCAGAGTGACACAGCAGCATCTGGCATTTCAGCTGGTTCCACACGTGTTCCACGCGTGCAAGTCCAGGGAGTGGGCCGTCCATGGAAGAGTGTGAATATGACATAGTCTTGAACAACTAGAGCTGTATGTGGACTAGTATTATCTTGCTGGAAAATTGCCCCTGGAAGACCATATAGGAAAAGTCCAAGATGGGGTCAAAGAATGTTATTAACATAATGCTGGGTAATTAAGATTCCACATACCACAATTGGAGTGGACTGGCTATCATAGGCTAAGGTCTCCCAGACCACTAGGCCTGCTGTGTGGGCAATATGTCCTGCAACAACCTAGGTGGAATTATACTGTTTATAAGGGTGCCATGACACTTATATGCAGTTATCATATATTCCCAAAATCAACCAGAATTCATCACTAAATGTCACGGTTTGCCATTCTGCAGCATCCACATCGCTCTGGCTTGGCGCCATTGTAAATGGAGTTGCCGATGTTTTAGTGTTAAAGGCAGTACATGAAAAGGGCATTCGGATTGCAGATTTGCTTCTACAAGGAAATTATTTATGGAAAAACTGGCACCCCTGCATCTAATTTTATTGTGGAACAAGTCACTGTGAGATCCACAAGTGCTTGCCACACGATCTCACCTCGTCATCTTCCTGGTTGCTCCAGAACTGGTTCTCTGTTGTGCTTTTCATGCCAATGATTGGGTCCCTCTCAAGCTCGGATGACTGTGAGAAATGTCTTCTCACATGCCTACTTAGCATTCTTGGCTTACTGAAGTCCTCTTAAATTCAGAATGTAATCATCATATTTATAAAACTTCATCTATGTGCCGGTTTATACAGTCAAAAGTCGTTAATTTGGACACCCATAATCCGGAAAGATCTATAATCCGGACCTCAAAGCTAAAAACGTTCTGCGCATGTGCCGTGTTGACACATGCGCATAGGCGTTTACGCGTGCATGTAAGACCTTTACGACTGCGCATATGCGTGTGCGCAAGCGCAGAATACATTTTCGCGTGCGCGTGTAGTGTATAACAGACGGTATAAGCTAAAATTATCTAATTATCTATTTCAGTTAATGTTGATGATCGCGTTGTTCCTTAATCTTCAAATTGGATCCGGCTTATTATTTTTTGCAGACTGTAAGAGCAATTTTATAAAAGTAAACTTGAACCAGGGTTCGTACGGTCTTTAAAAGTCCTTATTTTTTTCAAAATGATTTTGGTCCTTAAAAGTCCTTAATTTGGCCAAATGAATAAACGGTCCTTAATTTTGCTCTTGACATTTCTTATCATTTTTAATGATTGCCATTCTAAGTGTGAATTGCAATTTCTCATGAATATGAAATTAAAATTACACGACTCTTAACCAATCTGTTGGCGGATTTGCGTTGCAAACGAAAAAAAATAAAAAAAAAAAATTAATTAGCTCAGCCGTAGAACGAAAGTATCGGGTGTCTGATTGGCTATTCACCCAATCTTTTGAAACAGGTGTTATCCATAAATTTAGGCAGGATGTGATGAAAGCGTGAAAGCCGGGAAGTTCTTTAAGAGGCGAAAAGTGATGATGAAGGTGCTCGTAAAATAAAAAGAGTGGGGGGATTCTGAAAATATTTGCCAAAATTAGAACAATCCCAACCTGGAAGGCCACAACCACTCCAACGCCAATAGGAACGAGATGCCTGGAAAGTGCATTTTCAATAAACTGTGGCTTCATCAAGATGACTACAAAGACTGGATATTGATGGATGACAATCCTTATAAAAGCTAAATGTGGTCTTTGTTTGTCTGAAACAAATTGAAATTTCTAGGAATGGGAGAGTCAGCGCTGAAAATTCACATGAAAAGCTAAGTTTCGTTTTATCATTTCAATTTATTTTTACATGGTTTTGCTTAGCTTAATTTCTGTGTTTGTTTGAATTAAGCCATAAATTAATTTTTGATGACCTTCTACGGAGTTTATTCTCTTTTGCACATATATGTATGGGATATCAGGATTCTGAGTTTATTTCTGCAGAGGGTCTGTTATCAATTTTGCGGGAAATCTGTTGGCTCCATTTCAATTTTGAGTCACCAAGGGCAAATTCGGTAACGTTAGCCGAGAAAAAGTGAAGTTCGGAAATACATTTTGAAGCTTCAGTAGACAATTAAGTCTAATGCACATGCATAAAGCATACCCCTTCCCTCCAAAAAAGCCCTAAAAAATTTGTTGGTGGTGGCTTTGAGGTCCGGATTTTAAATCATTCCAGATATTGGATGTCCGGATCTCGAAATTTGTACTATATATATATATTACATGTTTGCACATTTTTTAAAATTATTTTGGCTTTTTTCCTTTTTTTAGAATTTGAATTTGCTTTTTTACTTTTATATACGTATTTGTTAAGAATTTAAATTTGTTTAAATATATTATATATAGTAAAAAATGTTATTTTCAGTATACATTTCTATTATATATAATATGTTTTCTATTATATATATATATATATATAGATACTTATATACATATTATATGCAATACTTAATTTTTACTAATGACTTGCATGTAATGCCCCTTTTAGCTGCAAAACATCTTTCCTTCTCAACTGCAGAGTTTCTTCTAACAGTATCATGAATTTTGTCAAGTTAGAAGAACCATCTACTTCAGAAAAGATGTAACTGCTAATTCACATCAATAAGTGTAGAAAATAATAAATAAATTATTTTCTTTTCAAATCTGAAGTTACAGATGCAGAAATATTGTGGCTTTTTAAGTGCATCAAAAGCCACTATTCTTTTAAATCGTGCGATGATATTGGGCCTTTATTCACTAAATGTTCCCGGATAATTCCATTGCAAAACAGTTTTCACGTGGTGAAAAGAATGTGCTTATATCTGTTATTTTGGTCTTGGCCCTTATTTTAAAACTTTGTTACTAAGCATTGTAAAAATGCTGAGTTTTTTACATTACTATTTGATGAGACCTCTTAATCTGACAAATCAAAAGAAGCAACTAGATATTTATGTGAGGTACTGGCATCACGAAAATAAGGTCAGAACTCAGTACCTTTACTTCTGCATTTATAGGGCATGCCAAAAGTGAAATTATTTTATCCAAATTTTACGAATGTGTTGAAAAACTAGACTTGTCAAAATTCTTACAAATATCGTTGGATGGTCCTACAGTAAACTGGAAATTTTATGATTTATTGCAACAGGACTTATAACAGCAAAGGAATATAACATTCAATGCTTGACATTAGGGACATGTGGTTTACACATTCTTAATAATGCTTTCAAGCATGGGATGTCATCCACTGGCTGGGACATTTCATCATTCTTATCCTCCTTACATTGGATTTTTAAAGATTCTCCTGCAAGACGTGAAGGTTTTTTTAAGTATATCTGGCTTAAAAAAGCTTACCTGTGAAGTGCTACTTTTACCGATGGTTGCAAAATGTCCCAGCAGTTGTAAAGAGCCATTGAGATATGGGATGACTTGCTACTACTGTACATTGAAAAAGTTGAAATGGGGCAGTTTAAAAAAAATTCATTGAAATCGTTCTCAAATATTTTGGAGAGAGCTAAGGCTAAAACACTTCTTATAAAATTAAATTTTTTTCTCTCTCTATCGAAAATATTTTTGCCTTTCCTTGAATATTATCAAAGCGATAAATCACTTATTCCCTTTTTTGCTGAAGATATCTTAAACCTTTTAAATGATTGCCTTCAGCACTTTAAAATTTTGAAACTAGAATATTCAAAAATAACTAAAGCAGAAAATCTTTATAATTTAATTTAATGATCCAAATTGTTATAATGATAAAGTAAAGTTTATTTGGGATTCATTGCTGAGCAGTTAATGAATGATAAATGCCGCAAGAAAGGACATTTCACAAGCTGAAAGTTTTTGCATTGAAACAAAGTGAACAATGAGTCTTAACAGTAGTACAACACTTAATGGCTAAATGTCCAATAAATTATTCTCTTACTCGAAATGCATCTTGTATAGACCCACGATTGATGGCTAAAAGTCCAGAAAAAGCACAGAACAAAATTAAAATAGTTCTAACGGTATTAACGCAGAATAAACATGTTCTACAAGATGATTGTGATGAAATTCTGCTGCAGTTTAGAGAGTTTCTGGACAAAGTAGTTAAGACAAATTTACATGAATTTTCTACTTTTGATCTTAAAAATCTTTCTCTTGACACATTTCTCACTTCTTACTTTCATAATTTTCACTATTCAAAAGTATGGAAAATATTGAAAATGATTCTTATCTTGTCACATGGACAGGCCATCTGTGGAAAGGGGCTTCTCTGTAAATAAGCAATTGCAATTGAAAATTTAAGTGACTCATCATACATTTTTCAAAACGCACAGTATTTGATTACATAAAATTTTCTGGAGTTGTTCTTAATATTGAAATTAATAAAGAAATGAGATCAACAGCAGCTTCTGCAAGGTCTAAATATATGCAGTATTTAGAAGAACAAAAATCTTTAACTAAATCTGAAATTCAAAGAGGAAAAGAAATATCATTGAGGAAGAAATTGATTATATGAAGCAGAAGAAAAAATTTCTTCAAAGGGACATTAAAGATATTAATGAAGAAGTAGATGCTTTAGCAGATGAAGCTGAGACCAGCATGAACATTGATTTGTTTATCAAAGCAAATGAACTTAGAAGAATAGTTAAAGAAAAGGAAATAGACATAAATAAATTCGATGTTAAAATAGCTGAAAAGATTTCAGATTTAAAAAAAGCACAAATGTTTTGTATCTTTTATTGTTTATTATTCTAGTATCTTTCAAAAAAAAAAAAAAAAAAAAAAAAAAGGGGGAATAAATTGTATGTTTACAAATCAGTTTATTTTAATCTGCAAAATATTCTTACATTGTGATTTTAATAGTAGTTTGACTGTGTTTAAAATAATATCAAATAAGTCAATAATAATCATGTAAATCTCTAAAATAGTTACTGTTATTAGTGTAAAATACACTTATACATGTTTTTAAAGAAATTATGTCCCTAATTTAATGTTATCTACTTCATAACTTGTAGGGAGTTAGTTTAATTTTCAAAATTGTTTTATGGTAAGTATAAAGTGAATTTAATAATAGTGCATATACACACTTCTGTTAGTTTCTTAAGTGAATTACAAGCATGAAGTCAGTTGTAATGGATAATTGCTTTATTCTATTTGTTTTTTTGTTTGCTGATAGGTCCTTAATTTTTTCTTTGATGGTCCTTAAAAGTCCTTAATTTTCATGTAAGGAAATGTGTACGAACCCTGTGAACTTTCGATCATGTCAAATAGAAATTCCGATGCTGGAGCTCCCAAAGGATCTACAAAACGAAAGTATGTTTCGATGTCCATCAAACAAAAAGTGGAATTGCTGCAAAAAATGGATAAAGACATGAAGACAGTGACAGAGAGGTTAGGGAAAACGAAAAAATTTCGATTGACAAGTTAGTCGGTATTCTCGGCACAGCAATTACGGGAAGAGCGGAACTTTGTAACTGAAAAAGAAATTATGTCTGTTTATAGAATTAAAGAGAAAGTATTATCACATAAAACGAAGCAACTTAAACAACTTACATTGAAAGAAATGTTTAATAAAGTAAACAAATAAATATTAAGCTTTTTTTTTTTTTTTTTTTTTTTTTTTTTTGTAAATTTTGATACCCTTCAGATCATAATTGTTATTTCATAAATTGCGGTTTCATATTTTTAATTTTAGAATTTCTGCAAGCCATCTTACGAGATTTAAACTGATGATCTATAATCGGGAAAAATCTATAATCCGGA